CTTCATTCTTTAAAAAGCCAAATTGAATTTGTTAGTTATTCACTGTTTGTTAATTTTAGTATTATTTTCTACAAGCTTAGTTTTGTAATTGGACATTTTCTCTTTTACAAATGTGTGACATGTAAACACTATGACTATTTATTGGTGTTGGAATGTATTTTGATTTGAGGTCCTTTCAACACTCCACCATTACTCTGAAGGAATATTTGCACATATTCAACTTTATTAATTACTGTTGAGTAGACTTTAATGTCATTGGTAATGAGATTTCTTATTAAATAAGGTATTAGAAAGATTAAGAACTAAAATGTAATTTGGAAGGTCAAAAAAGTCAGTAGGTTATGATAGTTTTTATTAGTAGCAGTTATTTTTTCTTGAGTTGTAAAATTCATTGGGTTTATATAAAGACCAAGAGTGTGTTTTATTTAACAACAACAATAGAAAAGTTTGTCTCTTTCTCTAAATAGTGTAAAAACGAAGTCTGCTTCAATTATAACAATTTGGCATCAGAGCTCATGGAAAATATGATGAATCAAATGCCGTTGCCACGGCTAACGAAGTCAAATTATGAAAACTGGAGTATCCAAATGAAAGCTCTTCTTGGATCTCTAGACGCGTGGGATGTGACCCATGATGGGTTTGAAGAACCAATAGAAGTTGGGGGATATATGGTAGCTCAAACGAAGGCGTTGAAAGAGATGCGATCGAAGAACAAAACGGCATTATACATGTTGTTCAGGGCTGTAGATGAATCAGGCTTCGAAAAAATTGATGGTTCGACTACGTCGAAACAAGTGTGGGACACGTTAGAAAAAGTGTTCAAAGGAAAAGATCGAGTGAAGCAAGTTCGACTTCAAACTCTTCGTGACAAATTGAAGAGGATACAGATGAAGGATACATGTACTGTATCTAACTACATCACACGTGTGCAAAAGGTGGTGAATCAACTCACCAGAAATGAAGAGACAGTAACTGATGCACGAGTTATTGAAATGATCTTGAGATCTTTAATAGACGAGTATGAGAATATTGTGTGTGCAATAGAAGAGTCGAAAGATCTTTCGACGCTCTCAATCGAAGAGCCTGCTGGTTCTCTCTAAGCACATGGACAACGAAAGATGAAAAAGAAAGAAAAAGCAGTCGAAGAAGCAAGTCAAACCAAGGAATCGAACAAAGACGAAAAGGTACTCTTTTCTCAAAACTTTTGAGGAAGAGGATGTGGACGTGAAGGTCGTAACAGTGGTCGAAGTGGTAGAGGTAGCAATTTCGAAAGAGGACAATCAAGCCAACAAAATTGGCGTGGCAGAGGATGTCATCAAAGAGGTGGTCGTTCGAATCACTCCAACTTCGAATGCTACAAGTGTGGGAAGTATGGTCATTACGTGAAGGATTGCAACTTCTAAAAATGTTACAACTGTGACAAAGTGGGACATCTTGCAAAAGAGTTTCGAATTGAAAAGAAGATTGAATAAACAACCAACCTAGCCTTGGAAGCTGAATCGAATGAAGGCTTTCTCCAGGTGGCTCAAAACGAAATAAACACCAATAATGAAAATATTTGGTATCTTGACTCAGGAGCAAGTAATCACATGTGTGGTTACAAACACCTCTTTAAAGATATGAAGAGAATTGAAGATGGTAATGTGTCTTTTGGAGATGCATCAAAAGTGAAGGTCGAAGGAAATGGCACAATCAGTTACTTGCAGAAGGATGGCTTGATTGGATCAATCGAAGACATTTACTATGTACCAGATCTCAAGACCAACATATTGAGTCTGAGACAACTTACAGAAAAAGGTGCTTCGATACTTATGAAATATCGAACACTGCATTTGAAGGACAAAGTAGGACATCTGATTGCCTGTGTCGAAATGGAAAGAAATAAAATGTACAAACTGAACCTGAGGAACGTTCGAGAGAAATGTCTGCAAATCTAAGTGCAAGACAAAGCGTCACTATGGCATATGCACTTTTGTCATCTATATCATGCTGGTTTGAGAAGGTTGGCAAAAAGGAACATGGTGCATGGACTACCAGACATGGATTACGAAGGAAAATTCTGTGAAGAATGTGTACTCAGTAAACAAACAAGAATCTAATTTCAAAAGAAGGCAGAATATCAAGCTAAACATATTCTCAAATTGATACATACTGACATATGTGGGCCAATCACTCCAGAATCCTTTAGTGGAAAAAGGTACTTCATTTCTTTTATTGATGACTTCTCAAGAAAGACCTGGGTTTACTTCCTGGAAGAAAAGTCTGAAGCATTAGAGGTGTTTAAAAAGTTCAAAGTAATGGCGGAGAAGGCAACAGACAGACACATCAAAGCAGTTCGATCTGACAGAGGAGGTGAGTATAATTCGACGGCCTTTGTGAAGTACTGTGAAGAACAGGGCATAAGGAGATTCCTAACTGCACCATATTCACCTCATCAAAATGGTGTGGCTGAAAGGAAGAATCGAACTATTCTTGGCATGATTCGATCAATACTCAAAAGCAAGAGTATGTCGAAAGAATTCTGGGAAGAAGCAGTACAATGTGTTGTTTATTTTCAGAATAGATGTCCACATTCGAAGTTAGAAGAAAAAACACCACAAGAAGCATGGAGTGGACAGAATCCAACAGTTTCTCATCTCAAGATATTTGGTAGTGTAGCTTATGCACATGTACCAGATCAACGAAGAACAAAGCTTAAAGACAAAAGTCAGAAGTACATATTCATTGGATATGATGAGAAGATGAAAGGGTATAAGTTATTTGATCCCATAAGCAAGAAAGTGATCGTGAGTAGAGACGTTCGAATAAATGAAACAAGCAAGTGGGACTGGAACAATTCGACAGAGGTTATTAACGCAGTCGAAGAAACAACTGTAGCTGTACCAACAAATATTCCAACAGAACATGAAGATACTGAAGATGAAGATGAACCTCTACAAACCAGAATGAGAAGCTTGCATGATTTATATGATTCAATAAGTGAGGTGCATCTTGTGTGCCTTCTGGCATATGCTCAAAACATCAGTGGCGCATAAGCGTTACGAGACAAGAAGTGGAAAAGTTCCATGGACGAAGAGATTAGAGCAATCGAACGCAAAAACACTTGGAAGCTAGTCGAATTGCCAAAAGGTAGTCAACCCATTGGTGTAAAGTGGGTATTCAAGAAAAAGATGAATGCTCAAGGAGAAATCGAAAGATTCAAAGCACGACTGATTGCAAAGGGATACAAACAGAAAGCAGGAATTGACTATGACGAAGTGTTTGCGCCTGTTGTAAGAATGGAGACAATTCGATTGCTCATTTCTCAAGCTGCTCAATTCAAATGGCCAATATTTCAAATGGATGTCAAGACAACATTTTTGAATGGTGTGCTCGAAGAAGAAATCTATGTCGAACAACCACTTGGGTATATGAGAATTGGAGAAGAGAAGAAGGTGTTGAAATTGAAGAAAGCGCTGTATGGGCTGAAGCAAACACCTAAGGCATGGAACACACGCATTGACACATATTTCAAAGAGAATGGGTTCGAGCAATGTCCTTATGAACCTACCCTCTATGTGAAGAAAAATGAAAGTAATCTATTACTTGTTGCTCTCTATGTTGATGACTTTATTTTTCTAGACAGTGATGTTCAGATAATAGAATATTTCAAGAGCACCATGACAAGCGGATTCGAAATGACAGACTTAGGTCTGATGAGATTCTTTCTTGGTCTGGAGGTTTGACAAGAAGAAACTGGAATCTTTATCTCACAAGAAAAATATGCAAAGGAAATCCTGAAAAAATATAAGATGAAGAATTGCAATCCAACTTTGACGCCAATGGAACCAGGTGCAAAACTGTCAAAGTTTGATGGAGGAGAACGGGTTGAAGGAAGCAAATATCGAAGCTTGGTAGATAGCCTTCGATATCTCACATACAAACGGCCAGAAATTTCACTATGTGTTGGCATTGTAAGTTGATTCATGGGGGAGCCAGTACTCACACATTGGAAGGCACTGAAACGAATTCTAAGTGACTGGTGCGGAGACATAGACGACCGAAAGAACACTTCTGGATATGTGTTCTTCATGGGAAACACAATATTTACTTGGCTATCGAAGAAGCAACCTATAGTAACACTTTCAACATATGAAGCTGAATATGTGGCAGCATACTGGTGCGTCTGTCATGCAGTATGGCTCAGAAGGTTGATAAGCAAGATGGAGCTAAAATAGTAAGGTCCAACAATAATACAAGTGGAAAATAAATCAGCTATCGAATTGGCAAAGAATCCAGTGAATCATGAACGAAGCAAACACATTGATGTTCGATTCCACTTCATTCGTGAACATGTGAAGGGAGGAAGTGTCGAATCGAGGCATGTAGCAAGCAAGAACCAAACAACGGATATTTTCACAAAACCACTATCGAAAGAGATCTTCGACAGAGACAAGAAGATGATAGGAATGCTGGATGGAAGAAACATTTAAGTTTACAGAGGAGTTTTGTTGGTAAACTTTAATGTCATTAGTAATGAGTTTTCTTATTAAATAAGGTAGAAGGAAGATTAAGAACCAAATGTAATTTGGAAGGTCAAAAAAATCAGTAGATTATGATAGTTTTTATTAGTAGCAGTTATCTTTTCTTGAATTGTAAATATCATTGAGTCTATATAAAGACCAAAAGTGTATTTTATTTAACAACAACAACAATAGAAAAGTTTTCCTCTTTCTCTAAAGAATGTAAAAACAAAGTCTACTTCAATTATAACAATTTATGTTTAAGTTGAATCTGACAGAAAATGGGCCATATCAGGACAGTGCTAAAGCCATGTACAAAGAATTGAGAAGCAACAATTATTGGTATTGCGTATAAAAAATTAGAGCAATAATTATGTCTTACTTATGCCCTACTTGAATCAGTTTAATTCTCTTTTTGCAAAGGAACGAGCTTACACAAACAAAAATGATTGCACTTTCAAAGCTTATGAACTTTTGGATTCCACACCAGATGCTTTCATGTTACATCAATTTTCCAATCCAGCCAATACTCAGGTAAGGTTAACAAATCTTATTTTATTATTTCGGTTCAAAGCAGTGTTGTTAGATAGTGGCTGGGGATGTTATATCATTATATTTGTAGTGGAATTAAAAAAAAAAAACCAGTTAAATTTTATTTTTATGCCTATACCACATTATCACCTATATATTCTTCAGCATGAATGCATATAATCAATCTTTATGCATGCCTTTAGCAGAGGAGACAATTACAATATTGAAGTTGGGAAATTGATAAGCACTTTCACAAAGAGGTAGTGTATTATAAGTTGTATCAGAGGTATTTGTGTAACTGTTTATTTTACAATTTTATATCTAATTTCTTAATAGCAGTGTAGAAGTAAATCATAGAAAGAAGGACTACAATGAAGCTTTATTTTAATAAAATATGTTATTATAACAATTTTCATGTCTACCTTTGAAGAGATTATCAATAAATTCAAAACATAAAATGATTTGGAATCATGAAATTTAATACTTGTACTTTTTAGTGATATGAAGAATATTGCTTTCTCTATCCACATTCTTCTTCAAGCTGGTAAAGGTTATGATATAGTTGTTGATTCATTTTGAATGTGTTTATGTCATTTGATCAATATTGTAGTAATTAATATTGTATATCTATCATTTTAAATGTGACTATTATTATCATACAAAGTTTCCTACATATATATTAAACTGTAACCGACCGAATCTTATCTATTGCATACATATATTTCAATTTCATAATCAAATAGTAAAGGGTGATGGCATAGCTATCATCATCAGACGTTAAAGTATATCATATTAGAACATGTTTAATCATGATAGTATTGTTAAAGTTTATTATTGAATTAGTTTATCTCAGTTTAGATGTTTTGGAATTTGGTATTACACACATTAAAAGATGTATATTACTGAAAAATGATTCAACTCATTTTTAAAGAAATAATACGGTCTTAAATGTTTTAGAAGTATCTCAACAACATCTACAATATGAAATCAATAATAGAACAATGGCATGTAATGTTTCATGTCTTAAAAATATTTCTACATTTGTTATAGATGTTGTCAAATAAGAAAAATCAATATATATCAATAAATATGAAACATTTATAACTTCAATATGTTCAGACTATCACTTCATTAAGATCATTATTTGAATATTTGAATTATGTCACTTTAGTATATATACAGTGCTTTGACTATCACTTCAGTAGGAATATTTATAACTTTTGACGTTAAATAAATTTTTTTTTTTTTGAATTTTGTGTAAATTAACTCTTTTTAGTTAATTGAAGTCTTAAATAGTGACATTACAATATATTATATCACTATTCGTGCGAATACACAAATAATATATCAATATCTGTATAAACATATGAAATAAAATAACAGTACATGTGCGAACGTACGAGTAATAAATTAGTATTTTATGAATGCACGAATAATCAGTATTGAGAAATATATTTTATTTATTTTTTCTATTTTGCACAATTGTTTTTTTCTAAATGAGTGTTTGATATTTTTTTTCTTAAAAATTATTGATTTAATTAATTTATATATTTATTTTTGACTTTTCTTTTTATTTTTCCCATTTTATAATTAAATTAAAATATTTTTTATTTTATTTGAATTTTCAAAATTAAATTGTTGACAATTCTACATTCTACACCAGTATCCGTGCGAATGCACAAATAACACACATCAGTACTGTGTGAACGCACAAGAAATTAAATCAAAATTCGTGTAAATGCACAAATAATACATCAGCATCGTGTGAACGCACAGATTAACATATAATATTTTTAAGATAATATATGAATAATTGAAATATATATTATTGATGTTTTTCTTTTAAAAATTGAAAATTTCGTACAATTTTGATTTTATTTTAAAAACATGTCTTTCTTTTAGAATAATAAACTAATTTAATAAATTATTTTGTTTTTCTTATTTACACTTCTATTATATTTTATTTAATTTATATATTCATTTTTGACTATTTTTATTTTTTTTAATTTTATAATTATATTTAAATATTTTTTATTTTATTTTATTTGAATTTCAAAATTAAATAATAACAATTCTACTATCCACACAAATAACCTTCCAAACAATAACGAATAACGCACTGTATCTTACTAATTACATAGAAGATCACATCTTCACATAAAAGATATTTATTATACTTAATGCATCTTGAATTATAATAGGTCACATGATTATGGGAGTTACTTTTTTTTTACAGCATTATGAGATACTTGAATTTCTAATAATCACGTAATTGTTATTTTAATATTTTTATCTGTCAACTAATTAATCACTACTATATATTCAATTAAATTATTTTTTTATTAAAAATATTTAATGATATAATAGATTAATGGTTTTCTATTAAAATGACAGTGTAAACTTACAATGTCGATGCATATTCATTAAAGATTATATTCAAACATGGCGTGCGCAAAACAAGTTTAATGGTGTGGGTACAAGTGTTTATCACAAGCATATTTCAGAATCATATGTAAGCATCTTTCTAGCTATAAGCATCTTGAATTTTAAAAGATGGTATGATTACGGGAGTAACTTGAATTTTAAATAATTGCTATATGATTGTGAGAGTACACAAAAGATAGTATATTTTTATTCATCTTTTAGAATCATCTTTCTAGCGATAGGCATCTTTCTAGCGATAAGCATATTGAATTTAATAGGTTGCATGATTATGGGATTAACTTGAATTTAAAATAATCAGGTAACAGTGAGAGTATATAAAAATATATTTTAGTTATTTATAGTTTTAATTTTTAAAGTTGGCGTGTGCAATGCATACAAACAATTTTAAAGAGCTCCCTGACATCCATTTAAATAAAAATACATGATGGCGCCGCCGGCAGTTTGTTTTACTTTTTAAATTTTTTTATTTTATAATGTAGTATATAGGATGGTAAAAAAATTTGTATACGTAAATATCCGCGGATAAAATTTGTCATAGATATGGATAGAATGGTTTAACAGATATTCACGGATAAAGTAAATAAATATTTAATTATTCGATTACTTACGGATACACGTAAATCGTAGCAAAATTGTAGGAGGATCAAAAAATGATGGTAGAAAATTTTAAAAGAATCATTATTCGAAGAAAATTTTTAGAGGAAACCAAAATTACAAAGTCGCATATTTATAGGGACTAAAAACCTATTTAACTAAAAAAATATTATAAAGAAATTTTTCATTAAAGTTTCAAACGAAAATATATAAATAATTATTTTTAAAATGTTATTTTAGATATTTCATCATTCTATTGAATTTTTTTTAATAGACAATGATAGTATTAAAAGAGAGTATAAGAGATATCCACTTAAAGCTTAAACACATAAAATTCCTACATCATAAACATAGAAGATGTAGAGTATTCCAAATAGAAATATTACAACAATCAACAGTTTTACAAAAGGAACTCAACCACGTCCATGACCTAAGAACAATTGCCGACATACAATCATCGAAATTGAAAGCAACTCCTTTAAAAATAATAGCATTACACATCAACCAAATGCTCCAAGCAGTTGCAAGCCATAACACGTTGGCAATTGTCCTCTTCATCTTGCACTTCACCTTCTCGTAGTGGAGAAAGAAACCCACAAACTCTATCAACGACATATTCAACTTGCTACCTATCCAATCAAAAACCATATTTCATATTCTGGCCTAATACAAACAAAGCCCAAAAAGATGCGTGATAAATTCATCCTCTCTTAAGTAAAAGCACAGTTTCTATCCAACAAAACTCCATGTTTAAACAACTAGTCTTTGGTAGGAATTCTATTGAGGATATATCTCCACCTGAATAATAATATATTAGAAAGAACTTTGACCTCCCATAAATGTTTGATGGCATTCATAATATCACCGGAAAAATTAGAGACATAATTACTTTAGCAAAACAACTTGTAACAAGAATTAACCGTAAAGATACCTTCGACTTCTATCTGCCACTCATAACCATCGATAACATTCCTGTCCAGAGTCACTTCCAGCAGCATATTCGCGAACTCCTCCCAAAGGCTTGGCTCAATATCTTTAATGTTTCCACCATCTCCAAAAAATTCTACGACCACTATGTACCGTCCCAGTTCCATGCTTCCGCAACACAACGATTCTTGCTGCTAACATGCTCAAATATTTTTGGAAAAGCAGGCAGCAGCGATTGGTTTCCCAACCATTTCAACTGCCAGATGGCGACACCCCTTCCGTTTTTTAATTTACAAAACACTGCACCTGCAAAGCTGTTATGGACAACAACAACAAAATTAGACATAATCAAGTCCCGCCACCAAATGGAATCATTGTTATGTGTTGTACCCCAAAATTTGCCCTCCCATTTCTCATTGATTTCTCACCACAAAACCTTTGAAGATCAAGATCCAGTTAGGGTTTCATCTGCTCAAGACTTCTCCTTGCACTGTTGACCCAAATTAGGGTTTGTGTTTGCACAAAGATGTTTTGACCTAAAATGCCTAAGATGACTTTCTTGCTTCATATTGGACTCCCAAGTTTATCCATATCAAGTTTCAAGTCTTGATTCCAAGTTTTGCCCAGTCAATTGGACAGTTGACCTAGAAATCAACTGTATTGGGGAAAAAGTCAACTGTGGCCAATTGACAGTCAAATCTCATGAAAATTGACCCACATCAACATTATGAACTCACATGGACCATTTGATCAAGTTTGGATCACAATTCCACAAGAAATTTGATCAGATCACCAAAAGGGCAAATGGTCATTTTTAGGGTTTTGACTGCACAAAGGCAATTTTTGACTGTTTGACCTAGCCAATGACCAACCAAGCTCACATATGGACTCAAGGGCCCCATGAAATTATCTTGACATGCTCAACAAGTTCAAAAGATCCCAAGTACACAAGATTGACAGTTGAATTTCCTAGTCAATTGATCAATTTTGACTGTACACTGAAAAGTCAAACTTTGACTTTTTGGTCAAAATCAAGAGTCAGGATTCATTTTTCATCAAAACATGCCAAATCATGAAACTTGTTCACCAAGAAATCAAAATTTGCAAATTAGGGTTTGAAATGAGAATTTTTCATAACTTAGAATTTTTCTAAGTTATGAAAAACCCTAATTTTTTCCCAACTTTGCCCCACTTTATCACCAAGATTCATTTGG